GAAAAAAAAAATTTCGGACTTTATTTTATCTTCACGGTGAAAATGGCTATCGAATGCTATTTTTGTGTGAAAATTCTCGATTTTATAATTTACATTTTTTACTTTAAAGTGCTATAACTTTTTGAAAAATATATGGATCAATACAATTTTTTCATGAAATTAATATTTTTTAATAATCCCTTTTTCATTCGACATACTTTATCTTAATCAGGATATTAATAAGGAACTAGCAGATCATGTAGCTTTTGGAATAATACACCAATTTTTTAAAATTAAACTCTATCTAAAGATTTGCATCGAAGCGTTTTTTTTTTGATAGTGATTTTAATCACTGTCAGATATCATTATACTTGATCCAACTATGCCACGTCACCACTGTGCCGCGACTCCCCTGTGCTGGGTTTTTTTTTTTTAACTAAACTAATTAAATGTTATAATATTAATGTGCTTATAATGTTATAATAAGCACTAATAAGGAGAGGTAAAAAAGATTTTACGTCTGAAAATTGGAATCGCTCTTCTTTCCCCTCCAAAAAAAAAATTTAAGGGCTCACACCAGTTATGTAACGGGTTGTTTTAGTTCAAAGCCCCATTTGTTACCTTTATGTACCTATTTTATCAAAAGTCGGATACATTTCGGGGATCTTTATTGTAATAATTAGTCGTTAATAGACAGTAATCAATTATAACGCTATTTTATTATATTATTTATTAATTAGTGATAAGGGTTATATTTTTCCATCAGTTATTATATTGCTACGATATTCATCTACTCCGAAATTTGATAATTTTTTAATCGATTTCGCGAATAATGGATATTCGGAGCAATCAATTAATAGTCCTATTCGGAGTATTCATCGTCGTAGTAAAATCCAAATTTTTGTAACCAGGTATTCGTAGTAATTGTTGTCGGAGTAAATGTATTCCGAGGATTTTTTTACAGTGTCGGAGTAAATGAATGTCGGGGCATCATTAGTTCGTGGCAATCTCCGTAACCCGATAGAACATCTTAACATTTCTAGTTAATGGTTACCATTTTAGACCATTTATACCAGATTTAACAATAATTGATAACTGAAATCATTTAAAATACAAACACGAATTTAATTTGACTGTTAAGTTATGAGCTACTCAAGATTCATAATTTTATATAAAGTTTTGTTAAATTCATTAGTTTAAAATTTTAATAATTTATTATGAATAAATTTTTGCCAAAAAAATTAGGAACACATAATGGCCAATTTCATTGTGATGAAGCATTTGGTTCGTACATGCTAAAATTACTTTATCCTAATTTAGAAATAATTCGTACTAGAGATGAAAAATTATTGGCAGAATGTGATATTGTAATTGATGTTGGTGCAGTGTATGATCATAGTAAACGACGTTATGACCATCATCAAAAATCCTTCACTCATTCCATGAGCACTTTAATTCCTAATGCTAAATGGACTACAAAATTAAGTAGTGCAGGCTTAATTTATGTACATTATGGTCATGATGTACTTGCCAAAATTATTAACACTCATATCCCAGAGAATCATTTAAATTCAATTTATTCAAAAATATATGAATCATTTGTGCAAGAAGTTGATGCTATAGATAATGGAGTTTCAATGTATGAAGGTAAGCCAAAGTATACTATTAACACTAATTTAAGTAATCGAGTTGGAAATTTAAACAAAAAATGGAATCATATTGGTAAATTTGATGAAATGGCTGCATTTGAAAAAGCAATGGAAATGATTGGATCGGAATTTACTGAAAATGTACTTTATGCTTACAACTCATGGTTTCCAGCCAGATCAATAGTGTTAGAATCACTTGAAAACCGATTTAAAATCCATTCATCTGGACAAATATTAGAATTAAAACAATTTTGCCCATGGAAAGAACATTATTTTTTATTGGAAGAAGAATTTGGAGATGACCTCAATCCTAAAATAAATTTTGTTGTGTTTGGAGATTCCAATGGATCGTGGAGAGTTCAAGCTATGCCTATATCACCTGATTCTTTTGAGTTACGAAAACCTTTACCTGAAAGTTGGCAAGGTCTTAGAGATGATGAACTCAGTAATATTTCTGGGATATCAAATTGTATATTTTGTCATGCAACAGGTTTTATTGGAGGTAATTTAACTAGAAATGGAGCGATAGAAATGGCTGAAAAGGCAATCAAATTGTAAAACTTCAATTAAAATTTTAATAAAAATATATTTTTTTTTCATATGTCAAACTTTTATTATTATGAAATTTATGTTTTCCTCTTTCTGTTAAGTTAATGCTTACCTTGTAGAAGGGAGGATAAGTCTATTGACACTGTACTAATGCAACTTAATTGATCATTAGTATCCTATGCATCAAAGCGCAATGTTATACTAACTAAGCTAGGTAGGTCATCTTAAATCACTCTAAATTTAAATAATTTATGAGATCCTAAAGCATTTAAGCATTTTGATCAATTGTTATATAATATTCTAAATTTAACCACATTACAATAGTGTAAATTGAAAAGATTTTAAAGGAATCTAGTTTAGATTTTTGAAATGTGCCTGTACATAATACTTAAGGGGCACTTTCGATGGTAAACAAAATGCATCTACATCAAATTTTAGTATAATTTAATTTTACTAGTAAATCCTACAATTTAATAGTATTAACTTACTGTTTTATTGTTGATAATTGCCATTTTGTGATAAATTATTTAATAAATTGATCATACAATATAATGTCAGCTTGGATCATGTGTACATATAATTTTCAGTTAATTTGAGGACCCATAGCTTATAGTTAAACACTTATAACTGTCCTTAACAATTGTTGGGCAGTAAGGTGGATTCAGGTTAACAATAATATTGAATTTAAGAGTTTAAAAAAAATAAGGGAAAATGTTAGTCTACTTATTTAAACTAATAAAATGATTTTATGTGACACAATAATTTATAATTTTTTTAAAACTTCACTTATCATAATAGTTTTATTTAATTACTTCATTTACGTTATTTGGATAACTAAATTACAACTTTTAAAATATTAATTACATTTTAGATGATATCTGCCTTAAAAATCTAGTTACACTTTCTTGATTAAATGGGCATTGGGTGTACACTTGTCCACAGTCTCCATTTTTTCCATTTTCTAATGCAGACTTAAACTTAGAACCATCTATGATAAAATTAGTCATAGAACTTCTGTAATAAATTTTAATTTGAATGAATACAGTTATTTGTTTTAACCTAAGTTCTCAAAAATATTAATTTGTATGATTAATTTAATGATGATGTAAACTTACTTAATTAATGTATTAACAGCACTATTAATAAAATTATCTACTTCTCCGGATCTCCCTTTGAGATTCGTGTTTGATTGTACATAAGTACATAATGCTTTTTGCATACACTCAGTTGTGTTTATGCTGTATTTATCCATAGATTCTTCAAATTTCTTCACTAATTCACTTATTCCAGGGATGATATCGTCACCTAATATGAAAAACTCTTTTGAAATAGTCATTCATATTATATTCTTAATTAAATGGCTTTATTACATATAGGTTTAAAGTAATAATAAAGCTAATATGATTGTTACTATTTCGTTTCATTTATTTTTCGTTTCTTACATTACACCCAGAGAAAAACCTCGATCTATATGATAAATTTATTGTTCAATTTGATAAATATATCATTATTATTGAATCTATGATATATTTATCAATATGATGATTTTTTTTCTTGTCTTGAACAATAATTATTCATAAGAATAATTATTTTGTTCGTATTAATAAAACATTATCATAAACCCTTGATAAAATTTCTCTATCAAAATTGATTGAGGTTTTTCTTTGGGTGTAGTTGAAAACACTTATTGGTAAATAAAATGTTTTTTCAAAATAGTAAAAAAAAAATTTTATCATATTCTATAGCAGAATTTCATTTGTATTAATAAAATAGTAATTTAAACAATAGCACATATTATATCTCCTGTAAATACGTCAGTGGGCCAACTCACTTCTTCCGTATCCATGTGGGTAACCGCCTTTGATTCCTCCAAAAATGTTGGTTGCCGAAAAGAATATATATATTAACTTAGGTATGAGTATCAAAACACCTAGACCTACTACTGCACCTACAATAAGTCCACCGATATCAAAATTTTGTGGTCCATAACTTAATGTATTACCATGAAATCCCTGAAAAAAAATTTACTCTTAAATGTTTGACAGTTTTACTATAATTGGTCATAATAATTAGGGTTAGTTCCTATGATTTTTCTATATCTGCATAATTAAGTCTGCACCTAAAGCGTACTCAGTAGAGAGGTTAGGGTTATAATAACCCCTTAGGGAATGAATATATTTTGTCTTAAATAATTTAGAAAGTATATGCCTCCTTAATTTTTTGAAGGAAATTTAAAGAGTTGGCTAAAGCATTCTTTGTTATGCCCGCGCAATCACGTTAAAGACATTTTTAATTTCTATTGATAGATATGATGAACATTTTTCAAATGTAATCCACATATGCACAACTAGGAGGGGGAAGCTTACTTCAGACTTAGAATAAAGTTATATATACAAAGTGATTCACAATATATTGACATATCTAATAACTTTTGATCTACTGAAAAATTTGCATTACTTTCTTATATAAATTATTACTATACTTAAAACTATAAAAATATTATTAGAAAAAATATTGCTTTAATGTATTGAAAAATATAATTGATTTTTTTTTTATTTGTAAAAAGTTAAAAAAAAAAAATCTAGGTAGCCATTTTTTAGAGAAGATTTTGATAAAAAAAAAAATGGTAAAAAACACCTTATCAATATTTAGTAATTAAATTTCAATAGCATTTTAAAAATTATAAAATTTTAATATTTTCGTGCTAACATTTATGGTATCAAAAGTGGGTTATCTATGTAAGAAAAGGATTAAAGTAGGAACGTTGCAATATTACGGATATCAAAAAAGTATCTATATTTTTCTTTCGATACTAGTAATTATAGTATAGCTTTTATAGTGTAGCACTTTTGATAAAAAAAATTGCTCTCCGTGAATTTCAGGGAGAGGGTTTTAAAAATCTTTCTATAAATAAATCCCTGATTTCTAGTGATGTTTAAAATAATTATTTTGTTCATTTAGTACATACATCTACTCCGCCGGATAATCCACTACTAAATGACGATGGTATGTATCCAAATCTAGGTTCGTGCGAGCGCTCTACATTAGTTTTATTTCCATACTGTGCATTTTCAAAATACTTCACAGGGCTGGGCAAAACACCACTAAAAACAAAGAATAATTAGTTCTCTAACTCAATTATATTTATATTATAAATCAATATATTAATATAGATATAACAAAAAAAATCGAACAGGATTTTAATTTAAAATGTTGTTAATTAACATTTAATTGAACATTATGCACGTGGCATGCAACATGTACTTTTATTTTTTGAAACTTAAATGAATTTTTATGAAGAAAAATCGTGGTATATTTTTTTATGAGAGAAATACCAACATTTGGTAATTTCTTCACAGCCTATTTCCATGTCATGAATTAAAAATTAAGCTCTTGCTAAATTATATTGTATGATTTCAAGAATAAATAAATTCTTGAATTTCGACAAAATCCTAAGTCAAAATTATAGCAGAAATTTTAGTATTTAAAAAAAAAAAATTTAATGATTAATATAAATTGAATATTTATAATGTTTTTATTATTTTTACTATAATAATTAAATAGTTCAGAAGATTATATTTTTATATTTTTGGATTGTGTTCTTAAATTGTAAAAAATTCGGACTTACATTAAGGGAATATTTTTATTCAAATATGAAATCATGAAAAATTTATGAAAAATCAAGCCTATAAAATAAGTCGTTTATCAAAGTAATTTTTTTATTTATTCTACCATGGCACATGCAAGTTTTCGACTAAAAATGTGTCAATTATACTACAGAATAATTATATAATTCTAATAATTTATTATATACTTATTGTTTGAAGAAATCAAAAAGTTTAATTTGAAAAATAGTAGCTTTAAGAAATATAAATTGCTTATTATTTTGTTTAGGGAAGAGTTTCTTAATGTGGATCACTTGTATCTTAAAGGACTCTATAGGGTAGTATAGGCATATACATGGGTGAAACTATAATCTGGTTAGATGGACCTATATCAAATAACAAAGTGCGATCCCTCCTTGATTCAGGTATAATTGGTATAAAATGAATATTAAGAATTATACTTTTATAAAATCTTCAAAAAAAAAAGTAGTAGTTTTCACTTACAAGGGGAGGTCACGGTGTGGTACCCACCGATTTTCATAAAATGTATATAGATCTATTCTATATTGACTATTTAATCACCTTTATTTCGAATTTGTTGCCAATGCCCCCCCTAAGTCGAGAAAATCGACTTTGAAAATTGTTGTTTAACTTTAATAGAGTTAATTTTTCAATTGGGATAAGGTCGTACTATTGTCTAATGGATAGCGCGTGACAGTCCGATCATGGGGTTCCGAGTTCGAATCTCTGAACGAGACATGANTATTTAATTGTCAAATTATAGAGTTGGTCTACTTTAGATGCCAGTCCACATTTAGTGACTTTCTTATATCTTCATTCAATTTTATGTTACACTCATTTTAACAGGGCAGGATTTATTCATCGTAGGTCATAAATACAAATTGAAAAACAGTTTATTTGTAAACCATCTCTTTTATAAGTCTCACCAAAGTTCAGGTTATGACATATTTACTTTTTAAAAATGGTAATGTAACAAGCGTCTCTAGGAGTCTTAATTTTTCTTCAAAGGAATGTATTAACTATAAAGCCTATACAATACATTATTTAGCTATACATGTAGAGATATCATTTAAATTTGGACTCCAGGCTTCATAATATCTTAATATGGACTAATCCATTTTTAAACTTCAACTTTCATTTTGAACATTTTTTGAAATTATTTAAATTTCAACATTCATTTTAAATAAAGGTTTTCAACAATTTATATGTGCCTATCCCATTAATTTGCACAGTAAAATTAATAAAATCTATACGGCTTAAGAAAAAAACCAAAAAAGTGTTACCTCTGCAATTAAAATGATTTACATAATTATCAAGGTATACCTCTACAGGATATCTAATACTATATTCAAGAGGTCATCGAACTATTAATATACATATTACAACAAATATATATATATATTGTTTTTTTCGAAAATTGATATGATCCTATAAAATGTATTTTTGTTTTATTTATTAATCACACATTTAACTCAATTGATGTCTAAAGAGGAATTAAATCAATTTTTTTTAAAACTTATAATTATTATTATTATATAACAAAATATAACTTATTCTTGTATGGTGTAGTTTTGAAAACTAAAATATTTAAATCATTTTTAATCATACAATTTACTTACTTGGATGGCATTTCAAAATTGGTTGGTAGCGCGCAAAAAGCCATTTGGACTATTGCAAAAATGCATATTATGACAATTGGAGACTTGGACACCTAAAATTAAATATAAGATACATTGTAATGGTATGACTTTAAAACACAAATACAAAATATTTACCATTTTATAAAGTACTAAGTATAAATGAACGCAAAAAGATGAGTTAAAATTGATGTCGTTTATGACAATGTTTGCATTTTGGTCATTCCGTGTGTTTATATCAGTATAGAAACAATATGCGGATGTCACGTAAAAGGAAGAAAACAAATAAGTGAAAACTTTTAATAATTTCTATAGGAACGCCGTTCAAACGTATGTTGCGAATCTATTGTCGGAGGCTGTTGATGAGTAACCATTTGAAACCAGACCGATAGCACAAATGTAATAAAAATATTGCATTACTATTATTTAACATATAATTATTATAAACGTTTAAAATTAATACTTAAGTTGCGATTTAATAGTTATGAACGTAAGCATACCATTCTTATTCTTTGGACAAAACACGTAATTCATGTGTTCCGTACTTATTGTATTATGTTAATGATGTTATTGTTATAGTAATTGTTTTGTTAGTGTCTGGTTAACGGACTGTATATAGTGTAATATATTGAAAGTGTCATATTTTTTCCGGTCTTCAGTCTGTATGTTAATTACAATCCAAGTTCCTAGAAAAAAAGATTAACGATCGTTAAAGTTTTTTCATATTATATTTAAAATATTAACTAGACACTGACATCCTTCGAATTAAAGTTATTTATTCTTTTATCGTGAAAAATATTTTCATTATTGGACAATTTTACATACCTATTTATTTATTAGATGTGAGTCACATGTCGATTGATATTAAATATAAAAAATACAGTTCGTATAGATGTTTATAATTTTATGAATACAAAATATATTTATAATAATATGAAAAAAATTATAATTTAATCATAAAACTGATTACTAATTTATTTGTGCTACCCAAACAGCTAAGTCCGTGTTCTAATATATATATATTTTAGAGATGACGCCGAACAAAAATTATTAAATGACAAATGAGTATTATAGTGGTATACATATTTTTTCAGAAACACATAAAATGTGTCAACATTCAACCTCTGAAAAAACTCAAAATATCGAGTTTCATATTTTTTTTCATAAAGACGAAAATACATAGAGTGTTCAATTATTACAAAAAATTAAAACAATAGAAACCTATTTCCTTACTTACTGTTCACCTTACATATGTGCAAAACTATATATAGTTGTAATATTCACTAATTTATATTATATATATATATATATTAGTTATATTTAAAAGAAGTCTTTATATAAATAAAATGAAGATTTCAAATTTTACTGTGAATTACGCCACAAATATACTTTTAAATTTAGTTAGATATTAAACTAAAATGAATAATATGTATAATTACAATTATACAATTGTGTTTTTTAAATAGCTGTTGTAAGTGAGTAGATGAAATTTCAAAAAATCTAAATTAATTTCTCATATTCCTAAAAATATAAATGTTTAATGACACATGCATTTATTACATTTTTATGGGAACTATAACACAATTGAGTAGACTACTTAATTCTCTTGAGCTATCCCTAAATTTGCACCATTGTGTAACGTGTCTGAAAATGTAAGAATATTTCTTGATATTTGAAATACGAGAATTAAAAATATTGACCTATGTTAATTGAATAATAATTAGAATAATTCAAATAGTGCTCTAATTCAATAAGCACTTTCAACAGTGATTGCCAGTGGAGTGTCTACATAAGGAGCTACCTGAAACAGCTGCCCCAGAGCGCATCTGAAACTTTTAGGATCGTATTGACAAAGTCAATGAACTCGATAATACTCTACTAAAAATTTATATAATGTTATTTACGTTCTTGAGTTTATGCATATTCTAATTTTTTTAATAAACCAACTATCTATATTAACAGTGTGGTACCCTGATACCATTTTTCTAGAGGAAGCGAACAATGAGCATTTTTTTGATCAACAAAAAAACTTACGGAGTATTAAATACAAATTACTCCGAGGTCTTGAAACCTTAAATACGCCACTGGTTATAACTCGAAATTATTAAATAGTATCTACACATATAATTATTAACTTTCACATACATCATGTATAATGTTGTGGTACGGCCATAATCGTTTATTTACAAACACACAGTAAATAGTATGACCTTGTAGAAACATCAAACATTCTATATTTTATGGATAATTGAGTCATAGTATTTTTGTTATTATTTAAAAAATCAATTGTACAACCTGTTGGCTATCAATATAATAATGATATTATTTAACATTCAATGAAATTATAATTTTAATGTTTACTTTAAAGTTTGTTTATTCTATTCATAAATAATTACTAACAAACAATAACACATAGGTAAGATAAAACATAATCAATTACACACAGATTAGGTGATTCACTCTCTAAGGCTACCTTTACATTATCTATTGTGATTTTTTTTTTGAGCTATAAAATCTATTTGTATCAAATACTTTTTTCTTCAATCATCACAAAAAACGTTATTTTGACGGTGTTATGCAAACGAATACTTAACACTTGAATAACTACTATGTTATGTATGAAAATGATTTACTATTTACTTTAAGAAAATATTTTTGGCTATAAGATGTCATATAAACTAATGATCTTACGTGTTTACAAAACAACGATAATATAAGAATAGTTTTGAACTTTTACTGTTATCATATATAAGGATTTTCAAAATACATATCGGGTAAATTTGTGTACTTAAATATTGATACAACGCAAAAGAATCTAAATAAGAAATTAAATGTCGAAATATGATACAAAAAATAGATTTACAAAGTGTAATCGAGTCTTTCACGCAACCAAATAAATAATTAAGATAGATACAAATGTTGGTATATTATTATAATTAATCATTAAAAATATGATTTCTCAATGCACTTATTGAAATATTTTAACACCAACGAAATGTTACACAATATTTATTATCACCATAGAGATACGCAATTCAATTTTTCAGCATGTTTTTTTGTGATATTGTAAATTTTTTAAAGACTAGAATGAATTTTCAGTTATTTTGCTTTTTGTATGTGTTATTCAAATGTCAGCGTATAAAAAGTATGACTGTAGGAAATTTAGCGTCCCCGTTACATGTAATACATACGATTATAAATTTTAACTAAGTCTACTGGTGATTATATTTCTAACTCTAGAGACTTACTGAAGTAATTATTTGTAACCGAATTAGATTGACTATGTAAAAATTAATTGTACAGAAAATGAGCGATTACGTTGTCAAATATCACATAAAAATGACAAATTGTTGGACGCAAAATTATTTTTTAAAAATCCAAAAACCGCGATGAAGAATTTAAATTACAAATCTTCACTCACAAGTACAGAAGATAAGATTAAAAAACGATCACCAGATTACTTTAAAAGTAAGTCGCTAGTATCTACATAAATATCTTAGAAAATTTTGTATTTAAAATTTACATTACACATTAATTAAGATAAGATTTTGCTTGTAAATATTTGTATAATGGATAATGTTTGTAAATAAATCATAGAAAATAGACAGAATAAAATATTATGTTCAAGAGCTTTCACATACTTATATTGTTAATAACAGTCGACGACATTATAATGGGTCATAATTCTTCTATTCCTTGTTTATTAGTTCAAACAAAATTAGGATAATTAGAATCTTAATAGGCACATTTTACAGCTACTAAGTTAAATTTTATTTTCCAAAAAATCACTATGATTTCATTTGTTAAAACACACGTTAATAGGGAATTATATGGTATTCTTGATTCTTGTATACTCATGACATCAAATAATCAGTTTTAATAATAATAATCATATTAATCAAATGTTAATATGAATTAATTTAAGTTGGCTATTTATTTAATATTGCTAATTATGTTTATTTATTTATACGGACAAATGCCCAATTCAACGCACAATAATAAATAACAATAGTGAGTAAATAGGTTAGAAAATGCAATAAAATACAATAACGATTAATTAGTAAATGGTTGAGATTATGTTTAATCTAATTTTATGGACTAATATTTAAAGTTGTAAATTATTTGAACCTCATTTGGTTTAATGAACACTATAATGATCAATTAAATATTGTACTAATGTTATGTGTAACTTCAGACATATTTATTTAAATTATACCAAGCTGCATAAATTTTGTTAACACAATTTTTCTAATGCTTACAAATTCTTTTGTAAAAAAGGAATAATAAAAATATAACCCTTATATTTAAAAAAAAAATGCAGATATTTTCTAATCCACAGGGGTGTTACTAGTGGCCTAGTCAGAATTTTATAATAGAGTACATAGTAAAAAAAATCCATATTTTGGACCTTTTTTATTTTTTTGCTCATCACCAAATTTTAAAATTGAATATTACAGTCAATGGAGCGAGGCTCCTTTAGCTAGGCTTACTAAGTGTAATTATACGATATACAAGAGGAACCAATGCTGAGACTAGAAATATTTGGATACACTATTTATATGTAAAAAAAATATGATGGTGGTAATTATTGAACGAGAAAAAATTAAATTGTGATTTCCCGGGCCCTTCCTCCTCCAATCCATCATTGATTGTCATAAAACATAGTTATACAGGAAATTTCAAAGCTAAATGTGAGTAGCGATACTCTGTCAGTCGTTGGCTCTAAAATTTACAAAAATTAATTAGATATATTGACAAAATATAGTCTGACACTCTTAAATATTTAATAAATTACGCCATTGTATGTATAAAATTTGAAAGGTTCTTTATTGTAGGTAGTTATTTATTTAAATAGGTCATATGAATTTTTTTTTACAATTTAGAATCTGTAGGTTGGAACTTTGGCGGTAGATGGTCATCAAAATGCGCCGGTGTTCGTTTCGAAGTGAACACACAATACACCGTAGGCTTTGATGAAAGCATGCCAGTAAAAATTTTAGATAAATTGTGTGAGAGGCGGTATGGATTTATCGACAAGAGTTGGTTGGCCAAGGCTAATGGACAGTATGGTACACTGGGACCTGTGTCATTGTTTGCTATAAATTACAAAGAGAAAAAAATCGCCGTGTTCCTCGGTAAGTTGCACAATCGAATATAATTAGGTGACTTTGACCCTCAAAGTAAATGCAACAGAAGCTGCTTACTGTCATGGGTTTTTTTTATTTATCATATTTTTAATTTCTTGTAAAGTAACTATTATTTACTTGCCATTTATTTATAAGTAATTATATTGTTATGTGAATTTAATTCAATCTAAAATAATTAAAATTAAAAAAAAAAAATGCATTTTCTTATCTTTTACATTTATTTTTATGTTAAAATAAATAAACAAAAGTTTGATGACGCACTAAAATATTTATGATGCCTAGTAGTGTTTTTTCGATGTTATTATGTCAATCTTAAATTTAATTTAAAATTAAATCATATTACATAAAGGTTAAAATAGTTAGATCAATTAAAATCAATTTACATATTACTTTAGAATCTTTAAGATTTCATTAAAAAAAATAAAAGTACATTGATAATAGAACACGCCCACCCGAAAAAGTGAATTTAATTTACATTCCAATATGTTTTAAGTAAAAAATTAAAAATGTGATGAATAAAAACTACAACTTCATATTTTAAAGGAGTTATATAATTATTTTTATTAAACCTTTAAAAAAAAATAATAATATTCTCACGATTAAATAATTAAACTATTATTTTAGCTTAGCATCTAAGCTAAAAAAATATTAATAAGTATATTAAAAGGAAAGCCTTTTCTAAAAAAAAAAAATGTTCTAGTACTAATGATATATGATAAATTACAATTTACATTTCATAACTGAAATAATAAATAACTAACGATGTGTCAGAATACTCGAATTAAGAAATTAATTAACTTTAAAACAAGACCTTATTTATTACTAAAAAAAACTGTTTTCCTCGCAAATAAGGTGTTATATATTATTGAGACTATACGTTTATACAGTGATGACATATTTAATAAGACTACCTTACTTAAGTAATATCATAGCAAACATTTAATTAGAGTTGTTAAAATTATAATGATTACCATTAGATATTCATGGTAAAAAGTACAAACCTCCCACTCTCAGAATTCAATCGAAGACCTTTTATTTTTTAATGAAAATGATTATCAAAAATAAATTTTGTTCTTTAATCAACTTCCTCCGAATGAAATACGCACCAATTAAGAAAGGTGTTGTATACATTATATTCTTAGGTCATAACTAAGTTTTAATAATCATTAAATTTATTCATCAGGATTTCCACACTTGCAAAATTATCAAGATTACATAACTGGTATGTGGGCTGTGGGAAAATGTAGTACAAACAACTGTGATGTTCACCAATCCGTGTTTAATGTTCCGGATGTCTTAGAAAGAGAAGTAATGTAACATTGTAGTTGAAATAGTCCTTTTTTTCAGTGATATAAGAACAAACGTATAAAAATAAAACGTCGAAGTTATTTTCCTATGTAATTACGCAAATGACTTATCAACTTTCTCTTCTTCACAAGAACTTTGTTAAATTAATATAATTAACTGTCTAAGAATTTTAAAATAATATATTCGTTTAAGAACAAGAAATAATTGTGTATATGTCAATTAAGTAATTGGTATGCAAATTTTTTCAAAATATGAATTCTAAGACAACATATTTTTTAGTAATTTATATTTTTATCTCAAAATTATAACAAAAAAAAAATGCTAAAATGATCATAAGGAATATAATAGAAACTGAAGTGTCCTTCAATAAAATTCAGTTATAAATTATTTGGTTTACTATGGTTGAATAGACACATTAATATATAGAAATATAAAATCAAATATTCTGTTATTTTTTCATTGAACTCTACTTTCATAATATTGCGCCCACAGTTAATATTTTTTTAAAACATCATTTCTCTAAATAAATACATAAAAATTACTATAATTATTACTCTAAAAGATTGATTGAAAAGAATACTGGTCGGAAGCAGGTTTTTTATGACACCCTTGATTGCTGGCTTAATAAATAATTTTATACAAACAATAAAAAAAAATAACGTGACGGTATCTTGCAAATTATGAAAGTTTTTTTCTTACGAACATTAGTATATAGTATCATGTAAAACATTTTATTCCTTACATTCTTCACATTTTAACAATGCCAACTAGGTAATCTAATTCTTATAAAATAATATAATTAATAAAAATACAAGATAAATTATTTTCAATAATAAAAAATTTGTCTTTATTTTGTTTAACAAATTACACAATGAAAATTAAATAAAAATAAATACAGCTAATATACAATAGTATCTATTATACATTGAGATTAAACCTTTATCAACGTTATGAACAACTTAGAGATCGACACACGACAAAATTATAATTAAAATTTATTCAATTGCACAAAATAATTATTATTATAGATTCAAGTTATGAATTCAGGAAATCAATCTAATAGCAAACCATAGTATTCTCAAAAACGCAATCGTAACAATAGTTTTCAATAGAATGTGAGCCACATATAATCTGAAAATAGTTTGAACGTTGTTAACATTGTTTTAATTACATTATAGTGTTTATTTGCTTGTTTTAAAAGAATTATACGTTTGGTAAACACTTACTTCTTCCACTTCTTTCTGGCGGCTTTTAAAGTGTTGATGTCGTCCTTAACAAGATATAATCTCAATCCGAGAGCACAGGCACGAGCATAATAATCCCAAGACATTGTGTTCATATCAAAAAAGAATTTATCTTTGTCGCTTTCCGATAGTTCGCTCCATAACGCCTGTGTATTGTCATTACGGAAGTCCCACTGCCTGTGCGCAAAAAAAACCAAAGCTTCACTCGCTTTTTTGGTTTTTTGATAAATTTTTCCAAGTCTGAAAAAAGTAACAAATAACTGTTTATAACAAACAATATTTAAAAGTTCATTGATATAAGAATTGCTTACATAGGTTTTCTTCTGGTGATTTTAGCTAATAAATCAAACAAATAACCAGGTATTGTATGGAGCAACAAGAACAATAGTGAATATAAATAAACATTAGTGGTGGGAATAAATGAGTAAAACCAAATAGCATTAATAGTAACCCAAGTAGGTATACCGTGTTTCTTTATTATTTCGAAAAAATCGCCAAGAAGAATTGGATTTTGACTTGAACTCACGTAATTGAATATTGTGGGTTCGTTATCGCTAGAAATGAATAATAGTTGATTAAAAATGAATTGAAGATTTTAAAAAAAATAAACTATAATGACTAAAAACTGTATAATACATAGTTTGTTGAGGTTGATTTTTTTTGCCGACTTTGTAAGCTGCACATATTAACGCATTGACAGCTAAATCTACGGGCACCATGTCCAGAACCTGATTGACATTACATTGAAACGTGTGAAGTACTCCGGTACCAGCTCCTACAATCATACCGATTGGTCCATAAACATTATCAATCCATCCACGAACTGGCTCTTTGTAGGTGGAAATAACTGAAAATCATGTGTAATTGTTAAAATTATACATTCACATATCGGTTTTTATATCAGCTGATTTAGATTCATTACCAACTGACGGTCTGAATATGCCCAATGGTAATCCTTCAGCTTCTTTTCTGACTAAATCTTCAGCTAAAGCTTTTGTGAAAGTGTAAGTGTTCGGCCAACCAGAAGTTAAGCTAAATTATAAAAGATTTAGTTGTTTATTATACATACAAAAGTTACTCTCATATGATACATTTGTTGTTAGTAAAATACCTTGGAGTAAGAGATTCCAATTTTGAATCGTCTTTAGCTGAAGATACCAAAGATATAACACCGTTGTAATCATAAGGAGGCTCATAAAACTTCTCATTTATAGTTTTGTTAGGACAATTAGCATAAGCCGTCGACACATACATAAAAGACTAAAATTAAAAAAAAAATTCAGCTATAGATAAACTAGGGAGATCTAAAAAGACTTAAACGTCCTAATTGGTGATATAAGATTACCATATTAATCTTTTTCATGAATATTCTCAAAAAACGAGAGTATTTTTTTAACTTGTTTTTATTATATTTTACTTTACTGTAAAATAGTAATAAATTGCCAAACAAATAAAAAATTGATCACTTCCAAATTTATCGTTTAGCTTATATAGATAATTCGATCAAACTAATTTAGAGATAACGTCTACTCCGAATAAATATTTACCAATAATCAAATTTTATGTTCATGAGTTTACAAACGCTTTAATGTTATATTTAGAAGTTATCAAATTTATACTTGACGGCCAAATTGAACCCAATTTATTGAAATGATATAGCATTTTTATTTTTATGTACATATAACATGTACATTTTTTTACTGGGGATTTTTTGATTTCTCCTATGTTACAGTATATTTTTTAGAGGATTATTATTTTTAATTTTCAACACTAAAACAATAAGAAGCCACAATATGTAAAGATATTAAGTAGACATATGTAGAATCATTTTTGACTGTTTTTAGAGAATCATGTAATTATTTATCAAATAAAAGATGATTATTTCTTCACCATAAATTCACAATAATTATAATTATTTGAAATAATTTTCAAAATTGATTAAATATTCTTTAAGTAATTATTTCTTTTAATTTTTGAATGTATTATTCCGCAATAATTTGTTAAAGAACATTTTCGGATTCTCTCGAGAGTATCTTTTTGTTACACTAAATCTAATCCTATGTAACTAATCCCAATTTATAATACGATCATTAATTTGATCAAACAAAAATTTAAATGAATTCTGATATAATTATTTTATTTTTGTGAAATTATAAATTTAATATATTTTATAAAATACACTATAATATAGTGTACTTCTCATAATCGAGTTTATTAGAAGTTATGATGATTTTAAAATATAGACTAAGATAGAGGCACATACTCGAATATTTATATCATTAGACATTTGTCGACTGTACTCCTCTTCCTGTCTTCATATAAAGTTGCCAATAACTTCCTAAGTACTGATCTAAAAGTTGCTATCGACTCATCGTATTTTTTATTAGATAATTTCTTATTTTATAAACTAGTCAACTCGACTACAAAATTGAGTTACTTAGCTAGTTAAATTAACTTACTAAATTTATTTAAGTTAACCTAAATATCTTAGTTGACTTAATTATCCTAACTTAACGAAGTTAATTTCACTAAAAAACTAAGTAAACTAGTCTATGTCAACATGCATATTTAATTAAATATGTATGTTGGCATTTCAAAAATAGCATTGATACTACTATAAATAATAAAAAAAAAATTAATAATTTATATAATAAAAATTGATCACTTGTGGCTAATTAATTAAGTAAAATTAAAACTATATTAAAAATATTATTAATTTAAAAANAAAAATATTATAGGTTTCTAAAAAAACCAAAATATTTTTTCTTAATATTGTATTATTTTATGAGTAATTGAGTGGTTATGATATTTCAGTCGCTCTATATTATTTGAATTGACAGAGAAAAATATCAAATTAAAAATTTCATTAGTGAAGGCCAGTGGCATTTTATAAAGGTTAAGTGGTTTTTAAATACACAACTTATGTTATACTAATGAAATAATGCGGATATAAAAACAAATACGTAATCATGGCTCTATACGTAACGCTTCATTCAGTTGTATATTATTTGATGATAAGTAATTGAACCTTATCCGTTTGATTTTTCTGGTAAAAATATTATACGGTTAGACTATACACTTTTATGATAAAATATAATTCATTATAAAGAAAGAAACTTATAAGGGACTTGCAATTATTGTGATATAATTTATAGAGTAATATAATAAATTAGTCATTCTTATAACTTGAAAATATACTTGTCGTTTTATTTCAATGTTATAATTTCAATATTTATAAACATCTGAGCACAGTGGGGACGCGTCACAATGAGTCATACTTGAGTCCAGTATAAATGATATCTGACAGTGATTAGAATCACTATAATAAAAAACGCTTCATTGCAAATCTATAGATAGTGTTTAATTTTTAAAATTAGTGGATTATTCCAAAAGCAACACGATATCCTTTTCTTTATTTATATCTTGATTACAAGTTTTATGGTTTATAAGTGTAATATATAAATAAATATTTATTATATCAATTAAATATAGTATGATATTGATATTGAATAATTCAATATTGTAATATTTTACAAATATCGTATTTTTAATAATCAACTTTGGTTTCCGTTTTCACAATAAAAACAAAATACAGTCTAACATATTTTTTCTCATATTAAAGTAATTTACTTTAATAAAGTTAAAAATGTAAAATATAAAATCAAGAATTTTAATACAAAAATAGCATACGGTAGTCATTTTCACCGTGAAGACAAAATAAAGTTCGAAATTTTTTTTCCATGATAAAGTATATTACATTAGCTTTAATTTAAAATATATATAAAAGTGTCAGACTTTCCGGAACACTGTCAAATGTTAAGTAGAAAAAGTTAATTTTTTGTAATAAACACAAAAAAAAACACATCATAGTAAAATTAATATCTTCTCAGCTTCGAATCGAAACTAAAAATCAGAGTATAAAAACTCGTCTTGCTTACCTACAAACATTTTTTTATGTAACTATACATCATAGAATGGCAGCAAACAGGAACGAATAAAGAGATCGTGATAAAATATCAAGTTGTCGTTGGGCTAGTTAAAACATTTTTAAAAAAGAAGTAAAGACCTGTTTTATATAATATGATCACCTTGAATTCAATATTTTCATATACTAATATCAAATTAATACAAGTGTAATTTACAAGAAAACATTTAAAAGAAATAGAATAATATATAATTTACTTATATACACGTCAGGTATTTAAATCTCCTTCTTTTTTAATTGTACGCTATTTTTTTTGAATTGATTAAATTGTGTTTGATCTCATACAAATAAGTTGGTACGCCTAGTTTACTAACGTGTCTAACAAATCCAATAATTTTTAAACTACAAATTGTTTTTTATTATTATTTTATTTTTAATTTGTACGTTTAAAATCATAGAAGTATAATTTATTAAATGTATTTCAATATGAAATTAAAACCAAAAATTACAAAATTATTTTAAATTAACTATTTTGTAAAATATATTTGTTAATAAAATCTTTTTAAGAAATAGTATCTACTCATCTTCTTTGACGTACATCTTATATTATTAATAAGAATTCAAATCCATAAAACCTGTCATCGCTTCTTTATTTTATATATATATATATATATATATATATATATATATACTTAAAGATAATACAAAATAATAGGTAATATTAATAGCTACAACCACAACTGATTAGTGAGGTCGTTAATATATAGAATGACTCTTTTAATGCTAATTACTCGAATTCTCTTAAAATAATAGTTAAATAATTGTTTATATTTTTTAGCTTTTGTTATTTTATATGTACATCCATTTGTCTGTTATAAAGTATTTTATATGTTCATTCCTTATACGTGATAAGGGTGTCAACTTTTTTTTAAATGGCAATAAATATAGAATGTTTAGTAAGTAAGGAAACGGGTTTCTATTATTCTCATTGTTCGTAATCGTTGAACATTACTTGAACTTACTTTTTTTTAAATATATAAATTTAACCAGCTTATAAAAAAAATGATCTAATAAAGAAAATGACTGGATGACAACAACTTTTAGACCAGTAAAGTTATTTACATTTTTATACCTAAATGGAAGGAATGATGCGGAAAATTGTCTAGTAGTAGATAACAACCACTCATCCTTCATCTCTAGTCATAACTTAAAATTGATAATAACTTTTGAAAAACTGGTCCAAAAGTTGTTATTGACCAGTCATTTTCTTAATTAGATAATTTTTTTTTATTAGATATTTAAATATGTATGTTGACGTTAGAAAAAATATAATTAACAACCTTATTGGGTATAAGATATGGCCATAAAAAATACTTTAAAAACAGATAAATGGATATATGTGACTAATAAAAGCCAAAAAAATTAATAAAAAAACTTATTTTTTTAAGAGAAACCAATTTGATAGCATTGAAAGAATCACACTGATTTATAACTCGGTACAAAGAATCGAATACCGGATCTTATGCATCGAAGAACGACACGCTATCAACTAAATAATTAGATATGCCAATAAAAATCCAACTTATTTTAAATGAAAAATAAATTATAAAATATAATATATAATAAATAATAAATAAATCCAACCTAAGTATTTTTTTGAAAATGTTTAAAAATGAATAAACATTTATAAAATGTTTATAAAAAGCTATATCACTTTGACTTTCTTAAAAAATATTTTTAAATTGCTAATTTTAATCATTGAAATAAAATAACTTAGTTGTTAATTCTTTTTTTCCATTATTAAACATTAAGCAACTAAATTAAATTAAATTAAACAAGTGTTACCTTCAGGTTTATTGTTTCTTTAGCGAGTTTCAACATTTCTCGAGTACCCAAAACATTGATATCAATAGCAACACGAATGTGTTCATCAAATCTAATGGTAGCCGCAGCATGGAACATAATGTTAACTTCTTCTATAAGTTTTTGTCGATCAGATGCTGAAAGACCCAAACCTGGTAAAGAAACATCACCAGCAAATGCAGAAATTTTGTGATGGAATTTTGGCTGTTCGTGTTTCAAACGCATAAACAGCTAAAACATTTTTTTTATAAATTATCTGCATGAAAATCCAATTAATATATCTTTAATTGATGTTAAATTTCATGAAATATTAAATATGGATCATTTAAATGTCAAAAAAGAATAATATTTTATTAAATAGAATCATAATTTTTATTATCAAGAAAAAAAATTATTGTGTGGTAATTTGTTGTCATATTTATCGTCCCACAAGTGAAATGATCTAAAAAATTAATAAATAAAATAAAAATTGTCAGTATTGCCGATTGTAAAAATTTAAACATTTTAGACGTCGGTGTATTCGCACCCACCATAAAATTTGGTAATCATATAAACAAAATACTGAATCAATGATAATATTTACAAAAGTATAAAAGTAATTTTTTTACTTTAATACAAATATTTAAACAAGTTATTTAAAGAATAAATAAATATACTTTATAGTCAAATAAATAATACTTCAATATAAATATAGTAAAAAATTGAAATTTTATGTTTGGTATTTTATGTTTACTATTTTCAACCTAGCAATTAACTTTAATATTACATATATTTAAAAAATATAAAAGCACTTTTAAAATCAATGTTTACTGAATTTAAATTTATTTAAAAGGTTTAATATAAATTATAATTTTATTGAAATATCGTTGACAATCTGAGAGAGAAATTTGGAATACTAACAAGATAAAGAAATATTGGGAAAGTAAAAAGTTATCAATAATACAGCTAAATGAATTGTTAAATTAACAGAAGATTCTTATTAGAATCTTTTTTGTGGGAATCGATAAAAAAAACTTATACATTTAAAAATAAGAACCATCCTAATGAGCAATTAACATATTTTGTAGTTATTAAAATTCTAAAAAAATACGTATTATAAAATAGTGTTTCAAAGTGAAATTGACAAATGAAATATTAACCTTTAAGATTATTGTATTACACAATTTATATATTTATTAATATTTATATTCTATTGTTAATTTAATTAGAATTCAATCACAATGTAACAGAGTTCATGTTGAGATGGTTCAATAAAAATCACAGCAGTTATTAATTATTGTTGATTGCGGTAAACAGAGTGATTTTTTTATCATAACCCACTCAATTACTTACAGAATAAATATATTTAAACCTTTTTTTTTTTTTGGTTATCTTTAGTTACACATTATTCTTGAATTATTAACTATGTAATACTTTTTAAATTCGTCCCATATGCCTTGTAAGGGGCTCAACTTTGTTTTTTTAACTGGAAACACATATTTTTAATTTAATAAAATGATGAGTTACCTAACCATTTTGCTACCTGTATTTGTAATACTTTGTGTATTATACATTTATAATAACTCAAAAATTTTAATTTAAATTCAACTTTAAATGTTTATATCTAATAAACGAATAAAGTTATATTAAAAATTCAAATGCCATTTACTATTAAATTAAAAACTCAAACATTTTATTATATTAAAAATATGTGTTTTCATTAAAAAAAAAACAAAGTTGAGCCCCTTACAAAGCATTAGGAATGAACTTAAAAAGTATTACATAGTTAATAATTCAAGGATAATGTGTAACTAAAGATAAACAAAAAATAATAATGTTTCAACATATTTATTTTGTAAGTAATTGAGTGGGTTATGATAAAAAAATTACGCTATATATACAGCTTACACGAATTTATTTATAATGTAAAAAAAGTTATATTAAATCTAGGCTATGTTTTTGCAAAATTTTATTTTATTATAAAATATAACTAAATAGTTAAAATTAAATAAAATAACAAGCAGTATAAATATAATTATTTGCAAATAATTTCAATAAAATTTAGATCCAGGTAAAAAAATTCATTAATTCACTTGATGACATTCACCTATTGTTAAGTTCATAAAATAAGGCACTGTGCTTTGAGGAGAAAGTAACACAAGCTTTGAACAATGTTACTCTACTAATAATAGAATACTTTTAGAGTAAGGTTAGAATAGTCCTTATTGAAATCCAATTTTCAACATTACATAAATGACACAGGCTTACTCAAAATAATATTACTTCAAGGACAGAGATTGGAAAGGTGTAATTTTGAGTCACTTAACAGTTAAATATTTTTTCGACATATTTAAAAATAACATTATTTTTTTTACCCGAAGGAACTGTTCTATTTTAATTAAGAAATAATTATTGAAACCGAATGCCAAATACTCATCCAGTATACGCATTGTCAAATCTACGTTTTAAGAAATCAAAAGTGCATAATTAAATAAGACCATTTTTATAAAAAAAGTTCTATCAATTGCATTACACCTACTTTAATCATAGACTTAATTTCTCGTGAATATCCACGAAATTTAACCTGAACAAACTTTCATTGGTATCATAAAACTTTTATCTACAGCTTATGTTTAATAATATCCTATACACTTTGATAAATTAAACAAAAGTTATAATAAGCCTCAACACAAACATAATAATGTCAAAGAAAGTATTATTTTAAGCGATGATGTTAAGCTATAATAGATTAGTTTTCCAAATAAATATCTTACCCTATCATCAAATATAGCGTCAACGCGTTCGTTGATGACTTTTCCTTTTTTATTTCTGACTAGCAAATAAATTTGTTTGATATGAGGACATGATCGACACAACTTTTCAATTATCATTTTGCCCATAAAACCTGTTCCACCCGTTAGAAAAACTGTGGCATCTCTGTAAAATTCTTGGACATCCGTTCCCGTAAGTTTATTGGCTTCTTTGACGGCCTCAGGATCATCGAAACTTTTTTCTCCAATGACTTCCAACGGATTTAAGGGAAATTCGTCCGTAATAATTTCTTTTAAAATTTCTTCTTGGGATTTCTCTGATTGTCGCGCGGTGTTCAATCGATGTAGATCTAACGCCATTTTGCTAAGTAATAAAGGTCTAAAAATTAAGATTTAAAAACTGTTATTTTCCTTAACGTGTAAATACCTCTATATTTTTTTTATAACCCAGTTAGTATTTAAAAAAAATAATTTTTATAAATTTAACTTAAAATAAATTAATAAATCACGCAATCAAAGAAAAAATTATATATATATATATAATAATAAAAAACTTGACTACGATGATATTATATTAAATTTAAAAAAGAGAAATACACACTGCAAGACCAGGTTGGTCTAGCACTTGTGTATAGTACGTGTCTCAAACAACGTCTGAGAGTAACACATACAAAATTTGTCTACATATTACTTATCAGTGTCCCTGAGATCCATACCACTTCTTTGGTTCTTATATATACTCTTCCTAAACATATTGTACTTTGCAATTTTTTCAAGTTCAAATATTGATTTTGCTAATTATGTATAAAGAGTGATTTTTTTATAATAAACTTCTTAATTAACAAAAAATATAAAATTGTGAATTTTCATTGTTTTTTTTTTAATTGCATGATTTTCTCAATTTATTAATGAAGTATTTTTTATGTTTATCCCTTATGTCTTGTACGGATAAAATAATGTTTTTAAATAGGAACATATCCAATTAATCAGCGTATTTATTAAATTATTACTTAATTAAGAAAATTACTGGTTTATTATAACTTTTGATTCAAGTACACATTTAGGAAAAAAATCAGAATTTTTTAAATAGATGTTTTAAAAGTTTTTAACGTATATACAATGTAAGAAAAAAATTTCATAAATAATGATAAAATGTCATATTTGTGTACGAATTTTCAATACTTTATGTCAAAATGACACTTCTTGTGTGTAAAATAATGTAAATATAGAAAGTATCATACTGACGTGGATATTTTTGAATTTATATTTACAGTGTATAAAATTATAAATATTGTTGCTTTTTATTTAGTGTAAACTGATCTTGAATATTTAATTTGGACCTGGAATGTCAAATCTGTGGCGATTTTAAGAGAATGTCTTTACATTCCCTTAGTTCATCCCCTCAGAATATGTACTATACTTAGTATTTGTCGATTTTTCTTATTTTTAAGGTATATTTTCAAATAATAATACAATAAGTGGTAAATTTATTGCATAAATTAAAAAAAAATGTTGCGCATTAGTAATTAGTTTATAATAAATATGACTGATATATAGATTGTGTTAGTTAATTAAGTAATATTTTAGACATTTCTTTTTCAAACTAATGTTAACTGTAGTATATTTTTAATTACGGTCCTCTTTAAATCCAGTAGTTTCAATTGTTTCACAAACTCATAAAAATTCAACTTTTAAATTGAAGTCTTTAGGCCAAGATATTCAAATAATTACAGTTATTAGTAAAACATGTTGATTTGGCTCAATAGAAAGTCACAACATAACAGATGTAATTGTTGTTAATTACTACTATGTATTACTAAATAACGCATATTTTTACATATAGTGCATTCTAAAAAACATATCAGAATTTTCACTGTATTTTATGTACTGAATGTTCTTAACCCATGATATATTTATTGACAAAACTACATTATGAGTAAAAGTAATGTGTTTATTCAAAGTATCATAATGCTTTGTGTTCAAAAAAACATAAAAATTTTCCCAGAAAACACCTTTAAGGAGAAAGATTGCCCAATATTTTATTCATTCTCTCTTTTGTTTCAACTCAAAGTGGGGAACTACTATAGTGAAATTGATTTTGTTAATGCTTATTTATGTGATACTAACATGTGATGTTACATTACTTTTGATTTGAGTAGTGTAATTTATTTTAAGATATTTAACACTACACATTAAAAAAATTTTTAGTCTAACGAAAATTTAAAAATATTTAAAATGTATTTAATAAATTTATTAATAAAAAGAATATTCAAAGTAATTTCTTTATAAATTGTATAAATAATCTTAAATTCAACACATCTTGTAATATTTTGTTTAATATTTACAATTTTAACTTTTTTAAGGATCCTACTACGTTTTCGGCACATTCCATAAAAATGTACTTCATTATAAATATTTTACTTTGCCATTTATTATTTTAAAATATATAATTGCTCAAAAATAAGCCAAATATCGCATAAAATTTTTTTTTTATGTATATTTTTTATTGTTTTACTAGAAGTATTATTTTTGTATCATGGTTACTTTTGTTTAACATTTGATTATTAAATGTTTCAAAATTAATTTTTTTCATTTTTTCATAAATATTTTTCACTAGCTACGATTCTCAAGTACAGTCATAATTTGATTGATTAGGAACTTGCATCAGGGTTATCTAGAGTGTTAAAAGTAAGGGAACAGGTCAATTGTTACAATGGGAAAAATAGAAATCCGTTTCTTTACCTACTGAACTGCTGTCATGGTCATTAAACCATAGCCTGTGACCTAGTCTATTACGTACAATAATACATTTATCTGACTACTCAACGAAATTACCTACACTAATGCCTACCAATATACGCACAAAAAGAAGGGAATTTCAAACTATTGAATTTGTCATCAATCGTCTTACTTTTTTTTAACAGCGAAAACCATTAAAGAACATAATTATTCACAATTATATTTAACTCATATTTAATGATTGTATTTCATTTTTTTAAGTAAAAAACAAATATGCTTAAAATTAGCTTTAATATTTTACTTGTTTTGAACAATATTATTGATGTGTTTTTTATATACATTTTTATAAAATGCATAAAAATTAATAATTGAATAAGAAAGAAATAGAAATATTATTTATTTGGAGTTTTGTCACACAAAAGATGAGTATGCAATAAAGCATTGGAGTTATTAGGGCTCCGCCTTATGATGAATGTGCACATAAATCTTTATTCACTAACCACTCTAGAAAAGAAAATAGTCATTTTCACCATATAATAATTTAAGTTCTAATATTTATTAAATGAATTGATAATTATTATTTTAAGAGAAATCGAATGAATAAGAGTGGCTATTAAAAAATCACCTGTAATTTGATACTTCAAATTATCATAAGCCAATGTTGGCTAGAACATTTTTTTTTGAAACAGCAGCCCCTTCGTTTTAATATAAATATTGTAAAAATTCTCCCTAAAATATTTAAAACTTAATTGATTTTTACAATTATTTATGATTAAATGTGTTAAATACCCATTACCTCTTATTCGACTATATTGTTTGAATTAAAATTTAGACAAATGTTTTGGAAAAAAAATTTTAAATAGAAAATGGCGATTTCTATACCAATATAACATTTTTGTAAAGTTCCACCCAACCCAATCGTTTTCATATATATAAGACAAGATGTCAGGACAAATATTTTTTTAGATTATGTATGTAGAATAAGCTTTAATTTAACATATAAGATGTATAATTTCAAAAGTTGAATAAATTAACTTTTCATTCAAAAATTGAAATCTAAATCCCGTGGATGGGTTTAAAATCAAATTTTCAATAATTATATACCTAAAAAGAGGAATAAAAATTTGTTGTTATTCATTCATTTTTAAAAATTTTATTGCTCTTTTGAGTAAAGAAAGTTAAAAAAATGTCAAAGTGTATTGATTTTAAAAATACTTATTTTATTGTAAATTTTAAGGTTTTAAGAATAAGTCTGTATAATACTCTGAGTAAAATACTTAAAAAAAGGTAATAAAAATAAAATATCATTTTGGAGTTCCTGGTTATATAAATCTTCGAATAACTTTTTTTTAAAGGACATTATTAATTTTCGATTTCTTGAGAGAAGAATCACTACGTTCTACTCTTAGGATAACAAAATTCAAAAGGTATTTAAACCCGGATCTTAATAATTATTGCATTATTTCACTAAGGAATTTCATAGTTATAAACAATACAATATAAAAAGTAATTTAATAAAAAAATACATAATTATATAACTATTATCTGCAATAAAAACTAACTATTACATGTTTATCTTTGTACATATATTAAAAACCAATTATCATAAAATATTAATAAAATTAAATGTAAAAATCGAGTTCTATTCAAAAATTTTATTGATATAAATGTCTGTTCTTATCTAGTTCAAAAATTAAAAATAAAGAAAATTAAAAATAATTAATCGCTTAAATTGATAAATTTAGTTATAAGAACAATGGAAAACACTGAATATTTTGTAATGTTAAAAAATCGCGGCAGCGTTATGTAATATATTTATTATCTACATTAGTCGCGATAAAGTGTTAAACTAGATTGCTAACTCGTGATAATGGTTGAACCAACAAATTCTCGCTCTGATAACAAAATAATTTGTACACAAAATATGGGAAAAATTGGTGTAATTTGATTGTCCACGTGTAAGATAAGCAGCAATGCTTACTGCTTCTTAACATATATACCTTGCTATTTCTAAAAATTTCTATTTCTGACCACTATTCTAAAGGCTAGCCGGAGTTTTGCCACCGATCCGCCGGGTCAAGAGTCAGTTGATTTGTCGAAGAATAGCCATAGTTGGAATTGGTGGCACTATTACCCGTCAGTCTGAGTATATTTTTTTATGTGCAGTGGATCCTATTGTGATTATTTTTATATTTTTCACGAAAGTCCTCTACTAATTATTATGTAAATTGATAATTTTTTGTGGCGTCGGCTACATATAGCGTTATCTTCTGCAGCCTTTCGGGGGTTAGTAATGTACTAATTTATTTATTAAATGTTCTGATACAAATTTTCTAAGTGTGCTACCATGTCATAAGCACGTGTAACAGATTTTATATTTATTTTCTTTTAGGTGCCCCTTTTTATCAGATATCCTATAATATGACGAGTATGTTCAGAAATTATTTGTCCTGTTTATATAGTTTTTATATTTTGTGTTAAATTAGAATATTGATATTGAGTGGTGTACTTAATGACAATGTGGTGACTTAGTACATACTATTTCGAGGTGTCTAAACACCTTTCAAGCTAAGTCTAACTGTCTAAACTAGTCGCTTACTTGGCGCGTATATCCACCGTGATTAATAGCCGGTGGATACTTAATGGAAATCATTTACATCTTTAATTAGCTTATAATTCTACTATTAT